CAAAGGGTAATGCCAAGTCCACGTAATAACTCCCTTGCCAAAACATGCCCAATAAGTGACGATCGGACGGATGCACAGGGATTATGCGGTACGCGCTTTTTATGTCTACTTTGCCCATAAGTGCCCCGCGTCTGGTGTTGACAATGAGCGCGATAGCATCTGACACCTTACTATAAGTCAGAGAGAATTCCTCTTTGTGAATTCCATCATTCACGCTATGGCCGAAGGGAAATGACAAATCGAGGATTAGTCGCCACCCCCCGTCTTTTTTGGGAATGACGCCAAAGCGACTGACTTGCAAATTAGGCAAGGGGGGTACAGGAGTAGGACCAAATACGCGACCGAGCGAAACTTCTTTAGCCACATATTCATCAATCACCGAGGGATGTTCCCGCGCTGATGGGCAATTTGACTTTGCTGGTTTTAGTTTGGTAGATTCGGAGTGGAACCCGAGCCGAAACCCGTCCCGTAAACCACTTAAAACATAATCCACTTTCGCTTTATCCGGATGACCGCATAATTGTATGGAAAAATTGTCTACATTAATAGGAGTTACCGAGGACACACAAGGAAGAGTAAAAATGTAATTTAATACACAACCGGACGAAGAACTATTGTTATTGATTATGCTGTCTCTAATCTCTTCTTGCCTGGCGCCGGCGAGTTGATTCTTCGCCAGGACTACGCCCTCGTTTCCGAGGGGATTCTTGGCAATGGATCCGTCGATGCGCACCGCCGCATCCCACTCGATCACATTTGTGGTGAAATCTACAGAACTCGCGGGGACTACTGCACGCCCCTGAGTTCCATGATTTGCAAGCGATAGGCGAGTTTTGGTCCCCCCGAGGTTCCCGAAATCTAGAGACCGAAGGCGGCGTTGATTGTGCCGAGACCGCAGTATGGTAATGGTATAGATCCGAATGAATCTGATTCCAATTCGTTGAATTGGACGCCGCGGCGTGTAGGCGAAACCCTCGATCATAATTCAGCCAGCACCGTCCGGGGAACTGTTTAGCCATGCGAATGATCAAGGCCATATAGGAGAGTAAATCACGCGCCCTGTCAGGTCTGGCCGAGGTTATCACAGTGATATAACTAACTATTAAAGCACTCGACCCACGTCAAAATATCGCGAAGTTCGTTTTTCTTGCGCGATGTACTGGTAGGGACAATCGAGCGGCCATCAATAACAAAGGATGGTACTTCGTTTAATGGGGCTTCGCGGTTCTCTGGGATAAGTTCGGACAGTTCGACAAACTTATTGGCCAAAATTTGAGTCACAAGTTTCGCTGGGATGGGAGGACGCCCCGGACCCAAAATAAAGGCATGATTGAGCCCACCAACCGGTCCCACCGAGGTTAGTGTGGTAGCGGGTAACGACTGAGTGGGTTCAGTCAATGCTGCCGTGTTCGTATCCACGAAACTAGCGCTGGATTGTGTAGCCGACGCTGACCCAGCAATCCCCAGAAAGAAAGGAGCAGTTAACATACCTTGATTCGTGCTCGACGCACTTACCACGGGAAGCCTTGAACTCGTGGGTATATCGCCCAATTGTTCCAGTGCAGAGACTTCGTCCTCTTTCGCGGCGAGCGATTTCGCGATTGCCTCTGCGACCACGTGCTGTAAGCCAGCGCAAAACTCCGGCGAGTTAAATGCCGCGGCCCAATTCACAGATGGGGACGATTCCCCATGTTCTTCGCGTGAATCTCTTTCTGACGCCATTGCTATTTCCAAGTTTTATGCGGCAACACCAACAATCACCAAAAAAAAAAAAAAATTCTAACTAGCGGACTACTTCTCTTGCTGGCGATACATACGCTAATGGCTTCCTTGCGTGCTCATCCCTCGCTATATCCGCGCCTTCTTGAGTTATGAGCCCCGTCCCAGGCCCTTCGCCGCTCTTTTGCCCAGTCCGCGCGCAGTTCCTACGATATTAACCTTGGTTACTGCGTAACCTCATTAAAAATATATACCTATGCTTTAAAATAAAACAGGTCAAACATTGCACGAATCTGAATAATTCAGTCAGGCAATTTAGACGATCAATTGAATATTTTATCTGTGACTGTGTCATGTTAACACGACTCGCAAGCGTCAAGCTGCATACTTGAAACATCACTTGATGCAAAATATGGAAATAAGCAAAAGAATACAAATGCCAATGGATAAAAAGACTTCTGTATGTAAGACTTGATTTGCTTCACAGCACTGACGGCTCAACTGCTCAAGCAAAGCGAATTTGCCGTTAGCACATTGGATAGTATATATTGGATAGTATATATGTATAGTGTATCGTATATAAACAGTATGAATTTAGCTGCGATCGATTGTATATGCTTTTAGCGTTTCATAAATATATAGAAGTTAAATTTGTAATCAACTGTAAACGTAACATATGAACGAAAGACAAAATATCTTAACTTAAATAGTCAAAATAGATCAGAAGCTTTAAAATTTGACAAAAATTTGAAGATCCTGTCCGTCGAAATCAAAAAGTACATGGATATGAGCGAGTTTAAAATTTGTGTTCTGCGCATAAAAAACGCGCACGACCACAATTCCTTGCGCTAAATAAAATTTAGTTCAGAACCCCCTTTCTGCACAAATTAGACTGCTGCTACGCTCGCTCGCTTCAGGCTCGCTCGCTCCGCAGCAATTATGTGCAATGTCCTCAACCGCTTTATTGGCTAAAACAATTTTGAACAAAAAAGTTATTGTGTGCAGTGCATCATATTTTTGGTCTACAGTTTGTACCAAAAGAGAATCTAGTCACTGAAATTCTTTAGGTAATAATATGTGATGAAAACACACCTTATTTACACTGAAAGAGATTAATCATAAGATATTTATTCGAGGTTGTACATATCCCATAATTATTCGAAGCAATAATACTTGGATGGGATAAAACATAGGTATGGTGAATCAATTAAAGTAATTCGCCTGGTTGAGAAGTTCAAAAATAGTTTTTGTCGAACTATTAACCATCAATCGTCCAGGTAGCGTTTTTAGGACCAAATTTAGAGTGACAAAAATACACATAAAGACGCCAAGTGAATAAGCCCGAGAAAGACCATTGGCATTATATAAAAGCGGATCTTTTAGAATTCAACCGCTTTGGCTAATATGTTCCAAACGTTTTTTGTAGTGTAAGGGAAGAGCTAAAATATATTAAAGTGCTGAAATATATTTTCTTTAGAAAAACCAGGGATAATATGTTTGGTGAAAATTTGATCAAAAAAGTTTGAAAAAGGACTGAAAAAGTGTGTAATCGAACAGCAACTCTGCTTGAGAAGTAAAGATAAATAGTTATGAATGTTTTCAGTGAATGTTTGTATCATCAAATGGAACTAATTATTAAAAAAACTGTTATTCTCTGCGAGTTAAAGTTATATAACGCCAAAAACTCAAAATGTCTTGCAGCGTATTTTGTCAAGATTTTAAAATTCAAACGCAAATTTAGAAGTATTCTTTGAAATTTGTCCTATATTGTTATTCTACGAATATGCAAACGTTCTGCTCGCCAGTTGACAAACAATAAAAAAGCAGCTGTGACAACGTTTCACTTTGGCAAACACAATTTGACATTGACAATTCGGGACAAATATTGCAATCGACAAGGCTATTAACTCAAATCGCACTTACAAAACGACGATTTTAATATTGCTTTTAAAAACAACACGAACATTTAAACCCAACAAAACAAACAACTTACCGTTAATCTCCAAAATTTTAGTCCAAAAATGAGGATAATCCCATCCAGTTTCAGAAAAAAGAATCAATTTTTCAACTTTCGAACAGCGTTTTCTCTATACTTTTGTATTGAAATTTGGCGGAAGGAGCTTACGCCACACACAGATTAGCTATATACAGACACAGATATGAAACTTCTGTGTTTTTGCTGATTATACTTCACACTCTCCGGTCGAAATATATGGAATACATATGGTATAACATACCCAATCAGCGAAGGAACCACAAATATATTTTAAATATATGTATTCCATACTTCGCGGCGCTGGTATAATTAAAATTGTTTCGTGTCCCACGCGCAGCCAGCGCGTGATGACATCCGGCGAGCTTAATTGGCAAGTGTCAGGAGGGAATTTAACGAGTAAAACCGTTTAAAACGCCGTTTTTAAGACGAAAAATCGCTTTTTTGAAAAACCCGCGCTACCTATGGCTAATTCTGGAATAAATTCTTAAAGAGAATCGGTATATGTATCCTTAATTAATTGTGGAAAGGCAATTGAGCATATCTATAGCTCAAAATTGACTTTCGAAAGTCAAAAAAGCTGGTCCAATTGATGCCGAATTAATTATATTTGCATTGGCACTATATATGTACTCTGGCTGAATTCTTTGCAATGAAGTCCCATATTTACGCGTAAATATTATTTATTTGAATTTTTCAAGTTGCTAACCGTCTTTTAAATCTGTTTTTTTTTAAATAATATCAAAGCATAGGGTGTTTGATTGCTTATTTTAAACCCGAAACTCAAAACATAATATGGCCATGTCTTTATTTTTTTGTCTTCAGAATTCCGCTAAAAAGACTCTTGTATGGTCATAATAGTCGCGCATGAGCAGCAATTTTTAAACTTTGTGTGAAAAATAGTCCATGACAAGGGTGAGAAGTTGTTGCCAACATTGCATGGTCCTCACACTCTAAAAAGACTAAAAAGAGGGTTGAACGGTGAAATAGATCTTTATACATTTTCTACTTTTTCAATTAAATTTCTCAAATAACCATCCTGTGGTGGTGTGTGACTATTCTTTAGTGAATGTTCCAAACAAAATTGCCTCATTGGTAAAACTTTAGATAACATGAACAAGAGTGCAGAACCGATGATAGTTTCGCTCTATCTAAAAATATGATATTCAGCATGCACTCTCTGGTATTTTGTTGACCAAAATTCGTTTTCCGTTTCGAGCGGAATTTTTCTGGTGTGTAAATGCAGCTTAATAAAACAATTAGATTTGACATTAACATTTTGTTCTAGCTCCATAAGACCACAGTGATTTGAAGCTCTGCAGACAAAGATGGCTCGGGCGACTCGGGAGGAGATAAAGTCGAGAAAAATAAGCGGTAAAAACTAATCAATTCTTTAACTACAACCACCAAATTACTTAACCATATATATATATATATATATATATATATATATATATATATATATATATATATATATATATATATATATATATATATATATATATATTTATATATATTTAATCGCCTGAAGATCGATACAATCGTGAAACCCTAAATAGCGATAAATATATAAGATTGTATTACTAAAAGTAAAATTAGTAAAATAGTAATACAATCTTATATATTTATCGCTATTCAGGGTTTCACGATTGTATCGATCTTCAGGCGATTGAATTCAGTTGCGTGATCAACGATCTGCTGACCTACACTGGTCAATGTTTACACAGACTAAATAATATATATCTATTATTTACTCTTTGTGGTTACAGCGTTTACTATCAATGTCAGAGTAAAAAAATAGATACATTTTTAGATCATTAATAGATACTATTTTTTATTGAGCTTATTGAGCTATATTAAAATTCTTAGTGGCTTCAACTTTTGGCCGAGAGCCAATTTTAATATAGCTCAGTGAACTTGATGTATAGGAATTAATATGGCGTTTTCTTGTACAAGCTTTTTTTCAGGGCGCGAGAGCGAAGTGCCCAACTGCGCATGCTCGACAAGCGCCTAAACTGCCTAAAAAGGCTTGGATTTTGTGGTAAACGTAACACCGCGGAAAAACGTCTGCGCACGCGTCAACTCTGCCTGTAAGTGAGATTAAAAAGAATTAAAAAGCGGTTCCGAACGTTTCCGAAGGCTAAAAATGGCGGTAAAAAGGAGTGATTTAATTCGTGTCTTCAAATCCATATTTCGAGGGCATAAATAAACACTGCAATTTAAAAACTAAGAGAAAAAACGTCCAGAGAGTCCTAGAAGTGGCATCCTACAAAAACACCTGTAAAAGGTGACTGTTAACAAATTTTTCGTCTCAAACATTTTGTTTATCAAATAAGCAACGACAGTTTCCGAACTTTTAATTGAGACACGTTTTATTAAAAAAAAATATGTCGCCAGATACGAGACGTTTGCGTGTTCTCAATGGTTGAAAATTAAGATGTATTTTACAATTTAAATATATTAGAAAGCTTAACTTTCTACGGGTTTTCTTAACTTTTAGGTTTAAACTTTTGTTTTCGAAAAATATTCTAAAGCCACCCCGTAAAAAAAGGAAAATTTACCGTGAATTCCAGTTCGTTCGATACTCTAAATACTAGAAGGCTTTTAATTTATGTTCTGTCTGGCCGTCTTGTATATTTTTGCCTTTTCTTAACTTATATTTTATCAAATAACGGGCATGTTTTGTTCCAAAAGTTGATATTTAGATTTACCATCATATTTTGATATTTCGGCGCGTGCGCAGACATTTTTCCGCGGTGTTGGTAAACGTCTGCTCTTTAAGATAAATTACAGAATTGTTTATACTTCAATCTCAGGCACCTGCCGAGCATGCGCCCTAACGAGAAATTTCGAGTCAAAAAGCCAGTCTTGTGACTTCATACTGAAGCTATTAGTTGGGGTTTTTAATTTTAGTATCACTGGTAAATTGTGAATTAAATATTAATTTTGAATTTGATAAAAAAATGGCAGAGGCGAAACTAACGCATCGGGCAGAACAGAATAGATGAATATTCACGCTAGTTTCGACCCTGAAAACAGCGCAACTTCTATAATCTTAAATTTGTGCAGCGGTTGCAGCGGAACAGAAACCGATACCGTCGCCATTATCGCTACTCTGGTTTTGAATATTCAAAGTAATCAGCACACAAAGATTACATTCACGAACCAACGTTTCAACACTCCGGTCTGTGTCTTAATCAGGGGTGATCTGATATTGAAATTTTTATCCTTATATTATGTTGCAAGCAGCTTCCGCCATAAATAGAAATGCCTGGCAAAATGCAAATAGTCTTTCTTCTGTATATTTTAGTATACATTTATTGACCCATGCATGTGTTAAATAAAAAAAAATTGGAAGCAATTAAAATTTTCCGCGCGTAAAAAACGCGTAAGTGAAACAAACCATTACCATTGCATGCGTGCATGGAATGGTTATAAAGTCATTGCCACTAAGAGTAATGTTACACCTAACAATTTTCAACATCAACTGCCGACGTAACAATAAGTAAAAATTTGAACAACAGTGCTATGTGAATTAAAACAGTTCATAAACTTTCAACTCGTTTCTGCAACAATTTCTGCATGCTCATACTTTATATACCATACACGGCCAAAAATTGATCAGGTTGTCGCATCAGGGTTGAACAATGCTGTAACAAGTTGCAACAACATTGATGATTCAACAAGCTTCAACAACATTGTTAACAATACTTTTCACAAGGTGCAGCACAGCATTGTTCACTCCTGTTTTTAACAACTTGCATCAACATGATGATTTTTACGCATGTATATACCATATTCGACGCGTAAACCTTTTTGAAAACATTGCTGCGTTGTGAGTTGAAGTTGAAAGTTGCTGTTATGGACAAAGGACGTTGTTTAGAAACCTGGCATATTACTGTGAGTTATTATGCCCTAAAGTGGGGTCTTGATTGTAGATTGTAATCTTTGGGTGATGATTACTTTTATTATTAAAAACCAGAGTAACGATAATAGCGATAGAATAGTAAGGGTTTTATACATACCCCCTTTGACTCTGGCAGAAACTCTCTTGTAAAACAAATTTAACTTATCTTTAAAAACAGATGTTGGTAGAGACCCAAGAGCAAGTGGGTACATCAATATCTGTGAAAAAGAGGAAATCTGATCATAATGGATCGTGGATCTGATCATAATTTGCAAAGTGACGGAACTACTCTTCATAGTGCGGTACTGACTGGTTCATTAGAGGAAGTTAGACGTTTGGTTGAAAATTGTGACGCTGATATAAATTGTACTGTTGAATCTGGTGAAACAGTTTTGCATTATGCTGTTTCTGTTGGTGTACTAGACATTGTCGAATATTTCCTTGAAAACGGCGTTTGTGTACATGGAAAAGGTACTTACGGTAGAACGGCTCTGCACGTTGCTGTCGAAAAACGTATGCTTGGCATAGTAAAATGCTTAGTTGAACATGGAGCCGAAGTAAACGGAAAGGATACTGACGGTATGACAGTTCTTCACATTGCTGTTGCCACAGGTTCTTTACGCATTGTCAAATATTTAGTTGAAAAAGATGCTGATGTAAATAGTAAGAATACTGACGGTAGGACAGTCTTGCACATTGCTGTTGCTGCAGGTCATTCAGACATTGTTAAGTATTTAGTTGAAGAAGGTTCTGATGTAAATGCCAAGAATAATCGTGGGAAGACAGTTTTGGAAGTTGCTGCTATCAAAGGTGCACTAGATATTGTAAAATATTTAGTTGAAAACGGTGTTAAGGTGAAAACAGGCAATGATAATTGGGGGAACGCAGCACTGCACGCTGCTGTTCTTTTTCTTCACTCTGACATTGCCGAATATTTAGTGAAACAGGGTGTTGATGTAAACAGCAAGGATACTGAAGGGAGGACAGTTCTTCACACTGCGGTTGCTCAAGGTAAACTTGACATTGTGAAATATTTAGTGAAACAAGGTGCTGACGTAAATGGAAGAGATATTAAGAAGAGAACTGTTCTGCACGTTGCTATTGCTCAAGGTAACGTTAAAACTCTCAAATATTTGGTTAAAAAAGGTGCTGATGTAAATGGAAGGGATTGTGACGGTATGACAGTTCTGCGCACTGCTGTTGCTCAAAATGAAATGCAATTTGTAAAATATTTAGTTGAACATGGAGCCGAAGTAAATGGAGAGGATACTGACGGTATGACAGTTCTTCACATTGCTGTTGGCACAGGTTCTTTACGCATTGTCAAATATTTAGTTGAAAAACATGCTGATGTAAATGGTAAGAATACTGACGGTAGGACAGTCTTGCACATTGCTGTTGCTGCAGGTCGTTTAGACATTGTTAAGTATTTAGTTAAACAAGGTTCTGATGTAAATGCCAAGAATAATCGTGGAAAGACGGTTTTGGAGGTCGCTGCTATCAAAGGTGCACTAGATATTGTAAAATATTTGGTTCAAAACGGTGTTAAGGTAACAGGCAATGATAATTGGGGGAACGCAGCATTGCACGCTGCTGTTCTTTTTCTTCACTCTGACATTGCCGATTATTTAGTGGAACAGGGTGTTGATGTAAACAGCAAGGATACTGAAGGGAGGACAGTTCTTCACACTGCGGTTGCTCAAGGTAAACTTGACATTGTGAAATATTTAGTGAAACAAGGTGCTGATTTAAACAGCAAGGATACCGACGGAAGGACAGTTCTTTACCCTGCGGTTGCTCAAGGTGAACTTGGCATTGTGAAATATTTAGTTGGACTTGGTGCTGACGTAAATGGAAGAGATATTAAGAAGAAAACTGTTCTGCACGTTGCTATTGCTCAAGGAAAAGTTAACACTGCCGCATATTTGGTTAAAAAAGGTGCAGACGTAAATGGAGAGGATGCTGACGGGATGACTGTTCTGTGCATTGCTGTTGCTCAAGGTCAAATTGACATTGTGAAATGCTTAGTTGAACATGGTGCCAACGTAAATGGAAAGGATACTGATGGTATGACAGTTCTTCATATTGCTGTTGCCACAGGTTCTTTACGCATTGTCAAATGTTTAGTTGATAATCGTGCTGATGTAAATGGTAAGAATACTGACGGTAGGACAGTTTTGCACATTGCTGTTGCTGCAGGTCATTCAGACATTGTTAAGTATTTAGTTGAACAAGGTTCTGATGTAAATGCCAAGAATAATCGTGGGAAGACAGTTTTGGAGGTCGCTGCTATCAAAGGTGCACTAGATATTGTAAAATATTTAGTTGAAAACGGTGTTAAGGTAACAGGCAATGATAATTGGGGGAACGCAGCATTGCACGCTGCTGTTCTTTTTCTTTACTCTGACATTGCCGAATATTTAGTGGAACAGGGTGTTGATGTAAAAAGCAAGGATACTAAAGGGAGGACAGTTCTTCACACTGCGGTTGCTCAAGGTCAACTTAAAATTGTCAAATATTTAGTTGAACAGGAACAGGGTGTTGATGTAAACAGTAAGGATAATGAAGGGAGGACAGTTCTTCACATTGCAGTTGCTCAAGATAAACTTGACATTGTCAAATATTTAGTTGAGCGAGGTGCTGACGTAAATGGAGAGAATAGTCTCGGGGAAACAGTCCTGCAAACTGCTATTGTTAAAGGTGCACCAGACATTATCGAATATTTAGTTAAAATGGATGCAGATGTAACTCTTGAAAGTCTTAGAGATGACATCGTGAAGATGGCTGTTGTAGAAAATGCTGTAGACTTGCTCCATTTTTTGATTGAAAAGAACATCGCTGTTGGAAAATCAGGACCATTCCTCGTTGAAGGAATAAAAATGAGTCCTCTGGAATATAGTATTCATCTTGGCCGCGATGAGATTACAACTATACTTAAAAATAAAATCTCCGTGAAACATCGTGAGAAAATTCAAATGTTGAAAGTAATGAATTGCAACCAGTTGAAAGGGGTAATAGTTTACAATTTTTTATATGTGAGATTATTTTAGGGCGAGCGCGACCTTTAATATAATGAGACCGAGAGTACTTCAACATGATTTATTCAGTTGAACTGAACCAACCCCTCGTTGATTCTGATGCAGGGTACTCACTATTAAACCTATTAACAAATACCCTAATACTCCGCTCTAGCCGATCCTCCCAAAATGGACTTTCTCCATAGCGTAGTGGTAAGAGTACTACCGCACTGGCGCTTTTGACTAAATTAGTAATATGTGCAATATAATATGTTTCAGGGCCTTTTTTCTCCTAATTTGCCATACGATGATTATGGTAAATAAACCAAAAAAGTGCATAACCAAAAAATCCGAAAGGTATACGATTGTATTCAGTGTATTCTAAAAGTTCACCCATACTCAAACTGATTACGTGGGTGATCTCAATCTCCTAATAATGATTCCATTACGGTATCTCCAGTCGATCGATCGATTGATTTTCATTGCTTTACCTTAAATACTTCCAAGGAATAAGAAAGGACCATCTCATTCATTGATAATAACACAATTTCTATGTTATTACAATTTCTAACTTCTGGCGTTTACCTTCCCTCGTAAATATATTACCTAACGTAATACATGCTTTTTCCATTAGAATGCTGTACCACTGCAGACATTTGTGGCGAAGAATCAATTAAAAATTGGCGCTGGTGGTTTTTCGTGTGTCTATGTCGGTCTGATGAAGGATGGAAGTGAAGTTGCTGTTAAGAGAATTTTGGTGCAAAGTGAGGACGAAACAGTCGAAAACGAAAAGGAAATTATGACTCTTATTATGAAGACAGACAACTCTCCTTTTATAGTGAACTATCGTCATTTTCACCGTGACGATACCTTCATGTATCTTATTGTTGATCTTTGCGAAGAAACCTTGAGGGAACTTGTTCATGCATGCAGTATTGAATATCTACAAGAGGAAGGTCCACGAATGATTTGGGAAATTCTATCTGGACTTGAATTTCTTCACGGTAAAGGAATATTGCACAGAGATCTAAAACCATCAAACGTCCTGGTTGATATACATGGCCACATAAAATTGGCAGACTTTGGGGTTAGCCGTATTCTACATGACGACGAAACGACAATTGAAACAGATGCTAGAGGTACTCGTGGATGGGTGCCGCCTGAAGTAATTTGTGGAATAGTAAGAAGGGAAAAAGGTCGTTTCAAAAGGAAATCGGATGTCCAGGTGGCAGGTATGATTTCGTTTTTCATCTTAACTAAAGGTGAACATCCTTTTGGCTCCGAGTTGGAACGAATGAAAAATATTTTAGAAGGAAATTATGTCAATTTAAATAAACTGGATAATTGCGAAGCTCAAACGTTTGTGATGTGGCTGATTAATCACAAGATCGATGATAGACCTTATGCAGATGAAGCACTAAGACATTCTTTCATAAACCGAGACTGATACAATTCAAAATAAAGTTTGAATTTGGCCACATGCGGACAATTCAAATGCAAGATTTAAACTTTCCAAGTAACCTACTTAGTTTCCAAAATACAAAAGAGTGCAGTTCCAATCTTAGTTGTAAGCGTGTTTGTTAAAGCTTGGTAGATTTACCAATTGAGTGTTGATGTATATTGAATGTAAAATGGAAATCATTATCATAGTGTTTTCATCATTTTTAATATGTTAATTCAATAGTTTTTATAACAGGGATTACATTCTGTCCATTGCCTCTGCATTTTCATAACATGGGCGTTTTGATTTTTTATAAAATGCTCATTTTTTTCTGTGCAGTAACTCAAGTTCATACTGATTTAGATGTTGAGCAATTCAATATTGTGTTAAATATGCAGACAATTAATCATATTTTGAGAAATACAGCTGTAAACAAAATCTAAACACTGTCAAGTCACTGTTTACATTATGGACCATAACTTTCCCTTAAACAGAAAATCTAATGGTTCTAGATAATCTATGGTTTTAACAAACAGATTTCAATAACTTCTTACTGAAACTATACCATTAAGAAGATCTTCATTGGGGTTTAGTTCTAATATTATTTCACACTCTTTACGCCCATAAAATCATCCAGAAAGTTTCCAAACAGTTTAGGATCTCCAGGCATTAATCCTTTGAGGCAGGAAAGGTTTTTCTTTTCAAGAACATCTTTTAAGTCATCACAAATGCAATAAACTAAATGTTCGTCTTTTGCCAGTTGTCTGGCGAGTTCAAATTGATGGTTGTCCATTAGTTTCTCGTTCACAACAACAATCAGTGGCTTGCACAGCTCCAATGACTCTGTTATGCAACCAGCTCCTTGAGAATTAAAAATGTAGAAAAACAATAAAGATTTATATTTAGAACTTGGAGATTATTCATTATTATCGACTGATCGTGGATATAAATACTAAAGGTTATGGTAATTCTAGAAATTTCAGAACATTTTCAGGAAATATACCTGCGTGGCTAATAATTAACGATGCTCTACTCATATCATCTTTCAGCGAATCCTTGTAACGGTAAAACTCCAACGCAAAGCTCTTTTTCTCGAAGCATTCCGGCTCATATTTCCCTCTTCCTATTTGAACCACAAGTTTGGTGTATCCTAAACGTTCGAGCACATTGAGAACTGGCTTGCTCGTTAAAGTTTCCACGAGACGATCAAAACTTGTGCTCCCTACCGTCGCAAAAACTATATTTTCGTCCGCCATATTGAATTAGGAAATATAGTCCTTTAGAAAAGGAATTTAGAATAGCTTGATTCCGTAGTTTGGAAATAAATCAAAATCTAAAACAATTTTTATATATTGCTTTCTGTTGAGTTTGCTCTATCCATTTTTATTCTCTTCTAGTTGGTCTTCAAATGTCTTGAGAATAAGGAAAAAATGAAAATTATGTAAAATGAGATTTTTGTTAAGGAATTTTTTAGACAAAAAATGATAAGGAAAATGAACTTATTTGTCGAGGAATTAAAAGAATTCGGAACTAGTTTCAGTTTTCTCGGGGGCACGGATGGGCACGGACTGCACGGTTTCCAATATGGCGGCCGAAAATGCATTTCTTGGAGGTTATAAAGTTGGATTGATTTCTGCTTCTCTTTTAACCGGAGATTATAAAAAAGCAAAGAAAAGGAAGGGGAATGAAGGTTTGATATTCGAAAGTAGCGAAGCCTTGCAGCCTACGTTTATTCCGGTCAAGAAAGAGGTTCAAATGTTTGATATTTTATCTGCTTTTATATATTGACATTTTCCAGTTTTAAATAAATATCATTATATGGATATAATTCATAATGTAATCACTAATGACAATGTATTAATCTTTTAAAATGTAAGACTCGTTTAATCTCGTGGGCAATAAATTAGTCAATTGTTTATAAATACTGTAGAAAAAGGTCAAAAATGAAGATGATTTGGCAAAGCAAAGTGTTCTGGATACAACTGCTGAAGGTTTGAGACCATGTCATGATTTGTCAGGCCATATTTTGTATTCCTTCTGCCACAGGCAACTAACATGCCCAGCTTTATAAATACACCGTAGAAACTGATGAAAACATTCCGACCAGAAAGACGAGTAAATCACCGAAGAACAAGTCATGTGATGATGATCCAGAAAGACTTGCCAGAACCATATTTGTTGGAAATCTTCCTTTGTCAATCTCAAGAAAGGTCAATGAAAGTTAAAGTTTTATTCTTTAGGATTGCCCACAATAATTCCTAACAATTTTACGGTGTAGAACATTCCAATATGTAACAAAAACGTTCTAAAATGTAACAAAGGCAATTGTTGCAAAAAATGTTGCTAACGTGGGAAAAATCAATTAGAACCTTTTACTGTGTGAAAAGAACGTTTTTCGTGGGAAAAGAACTTCCTCGCGCGAATAGAACCTTTTTTGTAGCAAGCGAACGCGTATCGCGAGTAAGAACGTGTATTACTGGAAAAAGAATATGAATTCTTAGTTCTGCTGTTTATTTACTGTGAACAGGCTTTTCTGACTAAAATCATTTTATTTGACTTGTAAGGATTTGAAAACATTTTTCAAAAAGTATGGAGATGTCGAAAGCTCGCGATTAAGATCGGTGGTGAGTATGCGCAAATTACCAGTGTTTTGTAGTTATTGCCTGTTCGAAATTTTCTATCTGAGTTCATTTTGTTTCCTTAAAGGCAGTTCCTGATCTAAAGACTTCCAAAAAAGTGGCGGCTATAAGGTACCGGGATTAAAGCATTCATTGATTAAGTGACAAAGGCCATTTAAACGCAGCAATAACAAGATAACTTTCAACACATTTAGAGGATTTGTTTGGACATATTGTCTTTATCATTGAGCACATTTTAAACATTCGAGGCATTAGCAATGACGTAGAATCCCACTAATCTTAATCCAATCCTTGTTGCTTATGGTGAGTCAACTTAGGTTTTTAGTAATCCGTAAGTAATTGGTATCTTTTTCATATTTTAGAAAAACGTTTAATCCCAATCGAAACAACGTGAATGGTTACGTTGTTTTTAAAGATAAAAAATCTGTTGAAGAATCCTTGAGCAGGTGCTGTTCGATCACAGGATGCATGCATTCACACCATCATGAGACACGCAATGAACTGATTTATATAATCTTTCTCGAAAGTTTTAATTTTAAACTCTGATTGTACCACACGTCTCTTCACAACTGCCAGACATCTCGTTTTAATATTAGGGGTGGGCCAGGGTCGAATTATAGGCAAGCCCCTTTTGCAGACAGATTAATGCATGCGGCTATATATATTTTCACTTCAACTTTACTCGAACATTTAGTAATGGGAAGATTATCGATGGTCTTCATATCAGAGTTGACAGAGTTGATAACGGTGGGAAACAGGTTAGAAACTATGTTCAGAATAAACCATGTTCAGAAGAAACTGCTCAATATTTAATGGACTAAACCTTTCCTCTTTTCGTTTTGCAGCATGATCACAAGAGATCGGTGTTTGTGGGAAATCTTATTTTTGGTAAAATTTCGGTGTATATATTTAGCAGTATATAGACTGCATGGTATAGTCTCGCAGCGAGCCGTGTTTCACATAGTCTTTCCAGTATCTACTCGGCCATCTCAGGCTTAGCCTTAAAACACATACACTGTATTCCAAAAAGAAAATTCAAGTCAAATGGGAGATTTAGAGTTACCCGGCCAGAGTTTAGAGTGATCAGCTAAAATACACTTCGACCAAGTCTTGATGGCATTTGTGCATCGAAAAAACGTTCATTCGAGATGATTACATGTATCTGTTCATTTGACATAAAAACCTTATCTTTTAACACTTGTTTCGCGTCCTAGATATGAAAGAAGAAACACTCAGTGAGTTTTTCTCTCCGTGTGGCGAAGTACTAAATGCTCGAGTTATACGAGATTCGACCACGGGTATTGGGAAAGGCTTTGGCTATGTCTTATTCAAGGTGACGAATTATACGCAGTTGTGAGGTTGCAAACAAGTTGTGTGCCTGCATGCTATGGGTTTGTCAGGATAAAAGCGAATTGGAAGGACCTAAAGGCTATGTTTCCCGGTTTTATTTTGTTATTTCTCAATGTTTTAACAATATCTGATGGCTTATTTCCCGGTGTAAACTATTATGAACTTTTGAATCGGCTTAAAGTCAGCGAAAAGTGACGAAAGGCGATTATATTGGGTATTTTCTGCTGAGCTTTCATAATCTCTTCCGCTTTTGACCCTGCATGCCAGGTGACCGAAACATTAGAGTATTTCTTATATGAGAACCATAATTTTGTTATTCAATCGAATTTATTAAAGTATTTTATCCTGACGATGATTTGTTTCGCATTTCTTCCAGGAAGCAAGTTCTGTATCTCTGGCATTAAAAATGAATAATTCTGAACTTAGTGGGCGAAAGATTAGAATTCAGAGGTCGCAAGAGAACCCTAAAGGTGCCTACCTCTACCAATTCTTCACCACCAGGGAAAAATGTCTTGCATTAGCCAAAAAATATATACTAGTAATTATTGCCAGCCTAAGTACGGTAATCGGTTTTGGCCAGTAAATTCTTGAATTATAAAACTTTTCTTGCAGGTTCTTCGACATCAAACGAACAAAAGCGAAAGAGTTTTCACGGCATGCAAGCGAAGGAGAGGTTTTATCACAAAAGAAAGATGCTGAAACAACAAACGAAATTTGGCCTCTCGAAAGGAAAGACAAAGAAAACTTCGTTTAACTCGAAAGTCAGTAAAAAACATATCAAGGCTAAAAGAACTTCACATGGAAAAATAAGCAAAGAAAATAATTCATAGCATAATGGTAATATATTTGGGGCCATGTGTTTGGTTTGAATTCAAGATTAGTTATAATTAGCTATAATTTCCTTCTCATAAGCGTCAACAACTTTCGGCATACCAGATGAACTTGTTAATCCCCACCACCCACGAACTATGAGTATCGTTTCAAAAATTCCATCGTACCAGTATCTTTTACGTGGTGTACTTTGTTTTATTACAAACGTTTTTATGACTCTCGATCATCAATATAGAACTGTCTACACAATTCTAACAGTAAGAACTTCTGTAGATAGAATTATGTAAAAAGTATTGCACAACATTCGCGATTTGTTGGACAAATGAAATTTTTGTACGGTGTGCATGATATCGTATGATATTGTTCACGGGGACATCGCTAACTTTTATTGTATTAAAGGCATATCTATAATAGTTATCGCAGCTGTTTGTTTTATTGCCTTAAAAACATGCGAGAAGGCACGTTGAATCCTCGCTTGAATCCGTAGTAATTCCTGTAAATTCAGCGGGTTGGTGGGCCAAATAATTTCAATTCATTCAAATTTTAGTTGAATCGTGAATTTATGGCAGCTGCTCTTCTTGTTGTAAAAATTTCGATACCTTTTGTTCAAAATTGTACCCTATTGACTAAAGAATCACGCGAGTATTTACAAGTCGCATCGGAAGGGAAAATTATTATCCTTGTTCAAAAAGATTAAAAAAATTGGAACCAAAAAATGCAAGTTAGCATGTTTGTGTACAGAAATTTCCCCGATTTTGCATTTTTGGCTGCAAAATTTATTGTTTACAATTTTCCGCACAGCGATGAACGGCCAGCGGTTGCACATTTTACCGGAAGTAAAAAGGGTTCTTTTCCCAAATATGGTAGTCATAATTAGGAAAAAACGACAAATTTATGCGAGGAACGGTTTTTGGACCAATCAGAAGCGGCGGCCCCCCGAAGTCTGGAGGAAGGAGGGTAGATCGAGCGTCCTTGTGTGCGAACTGTGATCGCTTTCGTGTCATGTTGGTAGAAAATTTTTGTAAATCACGCTTCTTTTTGTTGTCGCTGTGGATTGAATGCACTCCTTGATACAGGATGAGTGGAAACAGAAAGGAAACGACGAGTGCTCGTCCGGTGAGTGAAACTTTCTTCAAATTTTGCAGGCGCTCGAAGCTCGTGTCATCTAGAAGTATATATGGCTTGGCTATAATTTCAAAATGGTTGTATACGAATATTTTTTTTGAACGCTCTTACTACGAGGCCTGTAGGGGAAATCGTTCGTGTCATTCGCTCCTATCGTTTTGTATGTAGTGAAGCTTTCTTCACTTATGTTTCCTGGCAGTATTTCATTGTGTTTCGTGTCTCGGTTAAATGGATATTAGTTTTGTTTTGAAGATACATGCACACACACTCACACAGTCGTGACAATGTCAAAGTGCTTAGATTCCTCCCCCCAAAAATTGTCGTGGAAAAACACGAACAAGGGTTAGCTTTTCTTGTTGTTACAGTAAAATTATTGGCGTTTAATCGTTGTAGCTGTTTTGTTTCACAAGATCATGTATTTAAAAGGCATGTAGATAAAACTAGTTCGGTAATATCGACATTTTCCATGTCACAACGGCACTTGTTTACGACCAAGATTCTGTTACATTTCGATGTTTTCATGAAGGCTCCTCTGAGATTTATAACTTTATTCGTGTCTGGAGAGCTCGTGTATGTTCTCCACCAAAACCACACGGTTTTTGACGAAGAATTTGTGCTCTAATCAAGCTCAAAACGTCCTATTTCGACCGTTGTTTACGAACAGTTCATGATGCTTTTGACCCACGTTGAAACCGAAGATAATGATATGGATAGCTGAAGTTTTCATTATTGTTTTATGTGTGTTATATCATCATTGACCATTTACAGTTCCTTATCAGTGAATTTGGCTTGTTAAATTGAAATGCAACTTTCCAGTGAAAGAAGTGCCTTTATATGAATGTCCAAGATCAAAAACCTTGATTTTATAAAATATTTTAATAAGTAAACATATGGAATGGGTCTGACTGTTTGAAGTTATGTTGTGGTCAAAGGGTTGTTGTGCAGTAAGGATCATGCCTATACAGTTTCAATGGGCAGCGATTCCTGCATTAATGTTTAAACTTGTCAATTTGAGCTAGATTTTGTTCTTTGACAAAAAAATTTTATGCTTCAGCCCATAGAAGAGCCTCCATATTTGGCTGTTGGGACTGAAGTTAGTGCAAAATATCGGGGAGCTTTCTGTGAGGCAAACATCAAGTCTGTTAAAAAGTTGGTGAAATGCAAGGTATGTCTCTTCTTCTTGTGTCCAATTGCTATTTTGTTGTTATTTGTTAATGCATAGTTGTTTGCAGGTAACTGATTAGTCTTTTTACTTCACTTTCTACTTCTCTTTTTACAGGTGAATTTTGAAAATGGTGGTGGCAACAGTACAGTTACAGATGATTGTGTCATTGGTAAATTGAAAGTAAGTTTCCATGTTTTCAAACCAACCTTCCATATCTTATGTGTCTTTTCCCTGAGAGATTTTCCTGTATGCTTAACTGGGCAATTTGTTCCAGTTATAAGTCTGATCACTACAATCTTTTCATTTTACCTAAATGAAATTGTCTCTCAACTATGACACTATTCTTGGTTGCTGAATGACCATATTATCCTTCCCAAAGGTTGGTTCTGATGTGAAGGTGAAAGTTCCAGATGGTGAAGACATGGCTGGCACTCTGGTGAAGATCACCGATTCAAGCTCCTACACTGTTGTATTTGATGATGGAGATGAACGAACCTTGAAAAGAACATCACTCTGTATCAAGGGTGAAAAACACTTCAATGAAAGTGAAACTCTAGACCATTTACCGCTTACAGACCCGGAAAACTTTGGGACACCGGTTGTTCAGGTAGGGTGGGCATGAAGTTTGTGTGACTTCATACTTAATACCTTAGTTTATCCTAACTAGTTTTTTACCTTCAATTCTAACCAGTCAACTCTATTAACACTAGGATGATAACCAGCAGTTATTTGGCTGCAATTTTGTAGTCAGTTTGAAGCTGAATGTGGTGCCCTTGCCATTATCTTTTTATTGTTTTGGTTTGTGTAATCATTGACCACGAAGACAAAAACAATAGAAATGGACTGGCTTGATTCTGCCGTCAGAGATGGCAGCTGAGTTATTGTTCCAGACTTTCAGTCAACATAGAGTTGACTGGTTTCAACTGAGCTGCTATTGAGTTATTCACTATTATGTGATGCTCCCCCGAAATAAGGTTTTCAATAACTGTAAGCAACTTTTTATGTTCTTATTTCAATCCTAGCAAGGGAAAAAGTCAAGAAAAGGGAGACGAAGTTCACTTAGGTAAAGTGGAATGCTGGATTTGTGTTATATATGAGTACTGTATCTATCACAATTATGTTATTTCTTGTATATCCTTTCCGAATAATTAGAGATTGAAATCAAATCTAGAGATTTCAATTCATATGCAACTGATACAAAGTCACAGATACAGTAGGTTAATGAGATTGTATTTTAGTCACAGGTAGAGTAGACATTTTTCATTGTGATAGCTTGTTGTATCACAGGCATAGTAATTTGCAGGGTGTTTGGGAAATGTTTTTGTAGTTTGGATGATAGCAAAGATGATGAAGAAATGCCTGCCCGGAAGAAATTAGACATCAAGAAAGAAGAAAATGTAGATAAGGTATGGTGTGTCCTTGAGTTATAACTATATATATTCCCTTATAACCAGGGAGCAGCGTGGCAGCATCTTCAAATAACTTAGCATCAAATTAACAAATAGATTACAATGAACCGTTGTCTGTTCAGTTATAGATACACGGTATGACGTCATATGTGATAAGAACAAAAAAGTGGTCACTAGCCGCCGGGGCGAGTGGTCACTCTTTTGTTCTTATCACATATGGCGTCATACTGTGTATCTATAACTGAACAGACAACGGTTCATTGTAATCTATTTGTTTTATATAATAAAACTGAAAAAAATCCAAAATTAATTGAATTATTTGTTTGCAATTTAAAAACAAGAAAATTGCTGTGACGTCATTCCGTGCGTCTGTCCTCTAATAGATCATGGCTCTCAACCAATGAAATTGCTTGAATTCTTTACGTTATTATATAATGTGGTATAACAACTGCCTAAAATAGACAAAACACTTCTCAACATTTTGACCTGAGGGCCTTCGTCAGGAGAGTTAGTATGGAGTACAAGGCCCTCAGGTCTAAACGTAGAGAAGTGTTCCATCTATTTTGGGAAGTTGTTATACCACATTTGATGCTATATATTTCCTTAAACTAAGCAATGGAAATCATGTACTCCACATCATAACAGAACATCTCTACAATTCAATATTTTTTTAATGATAGTATGTTTGTATTCAATTTAAGGTGGTTATGATTGAAGTTACTGAAAAAAAGAAGACCTTCCTACTTCCATCATTGGTAGGTTTAGTCATAAAAGTAACTAAGTTCTTTTGTACAAAAGTACACTTTTTAAAATTTTACTTTTTTTTTCTAAAACGTTATTCATGTTCTCTGTAGCTTTTGAGCTCAACTGATTCACAGAGTGAAGTAAAAAGTCCTGAGAATGTTCTCGTTAGATCATTTAAAGATGGCAAGCAGTAAGTATTTGTTTGAAAAAGCATCTTAGTTTCTCATTATATATACTACTTTTAAATGAACACTTTTCCAATGTGCTCTACATATATCAATGACAAATTGACAATTGCCCTGTTAAACAATCAATTACAATTGCCACATTGTTTCAAGCGTTTATTTTGTGTGCATGACTACAGCAAAACTTAGAGGGTTGTCTCTTATTTTTTGTAGCATTGAAGTTCATCCAAAGGATGTTAAAGATTTTTCAAAAGAAAGTATTTTGAATTCCACATTAGCGAAGGGAGGAAATCCAGCCATAAAGTCAGGTATCGTAATTATATGTACATATATTTGTATTACATGTATAAGTAACTTAGCTTGTAGGTACACCACGTAAGTATTTAATACAAACGTTGGAGATGAAAAAAGGCGGTTTCCAAGCAAACAACCTAACACATATACCACATGCATTTGTACATGCAATTTGCATTTTTTTTTATTTCAATACTTGGTGTACCTACAAGCTAAGCTACTTATTAATGTCACCATATAAACATACAAGAATATTATATATAAGTTTGTAATAATTCTGGCACAAGCCATCCAGTTTCCCATTGGCAAATGCTTGTGGTATATGTGTTAGTTTGTTTGTCTGGAAACACTGATTTTCATCTCCATCGTTTGTTGATTTTAGCTGTTGAGCTTGCGGTGAAATATATTGAAACAAAGCAGTTGCCAAGCGACTGGGACGAAGAAAAACCAGGTGATTTAGAGAAGAATGAAAGTAGCGATAATTCTTCAGAAAGTGAGCCAGAGTCGGATGGTGATGAGAATGACAGGAGTGAATTTCTTCAAAAGCTGAATAAGTTTCTTGGAGAAAAAGGTTAGCTGGTTTCAATGAACACTCAATCCCTTTAATTTTTACAATGTATATACAAAAATATTACCATTGCATGATCACAGATACAAACTCTCCATCTATGTCCTCATATCAAAAGTTTCAAATCTGCACGATTGTGAAACGCTTCATGTAATGCAGAATGTGTGAATTGTCTTTCACCCCATAGAAAATAGATAAATGAGGTCAAATCTTCTGAGGAAAATAGATAAATGAGGAAAAAAATCTACAAGTTGAGATCATTCTTGTTTACAGACAATATAAAATATTGCTAGCCAGAGTTCCATTAGGAGTGGACTTTCAAATTTATGTCAACGGTTAATATTAGTATTATTATTAGTATTAATTATTTGTATGTTTAGGCACTCCTCTTCTTCGCTCGCCAGTCCTGGGCCATCGAGATCTTGATTTGTATAAATTGTTTAAAATTGTTTCCAAAATGGATGGCATGGACAAGGTACTGTATGATGTCATTCGGTTTATCTTCGTGTTTCGTGCTGTGAAACAGTCGTGAAAATAAAATACCCTCAAAGAAAATGATTTCAAGACAGCGGACAGTTGTAGAAAACATAAAAAATTAACATCTAGTTCATGGTGTACCATCCGGCGGCCTTTTTGAACCAGACACAAACTTGAAATTTCATGTTTTTTATGTTTTTTCTCTCAAAGGTGGAATCTTGGTATACGGTTTACAAAAAGATGAATATTCCTATAATTACAACCACAGCTTGTTACCACATTAAGAATGCTTACAAAAGGTACGGATAATGGTACAACCATTCAGGGTTTTGCTTGGCTTTAGTTGTACGTTTACAGTACAGTCTTAGGGGCTGTTTTAATCCATACCGGAAATTGGTGACGCAGGCGTTAAAAACAGTATTTGTAAAACATCACGGTTGAAGGCCTAAAGGGCTTCATTCGCGCATAGATATTGTGAGAAAAGTCAGTCACAAGCAAAGTTGTTTTAAGAGAGAAAGCAGATTTTTTCACAAACATGGTTTGACAAGAATAATGCAAGCATTGTGATGATGGGTCGGTTTCAAAGTATGGGAGTTCAAAAGTTTATCACGTCGAAATTTGCACTTGAAAGTTTGATAAACAAAGCATTTATATTGGTGCAAAAATACAACTTTCGCAAATTGCAAGGTAATTCTCTGGAAATAAGGAAAGGCTCTTGAAATAACAAAGCGAATGTTAAAGGAATTTATATCGCACTAAGGTTGAGATGGTAAAATATGCTGTTAGATAACGTGGGACTCTAAAGAGAACTTTAAAGAGAATGGCTATGCTGCTATATTTAGCTCTTGTCCGGAAATCCTTCAGAACCTACTTCAAAATTACGTAGGCATGTTGGAAGAAAAATCCCACGTTTTGATGATGAATGAATCCGATTGTGGGTTTCATTTACAACTTTTAAATCATCACTTAATTTTAAAACGTCGACGAATATCGCAAATATTTTTGTCGGAAGTTTTGTGAAATCATCTAAAAATACCAATACACGCATTCAAAACACGTTTTTGTTTCAACTGTTTGAAATGATATTCGCTTTTTTGACATGTACATAAGAAGTTTCTTATGGTTTTGTTTATTTTTAGATATTTATATGATTATGAAGTGCACGCTCGTGAGGAGAGCAAAGAAGAGAAAACAAAGAAGCCTGATAAACCTTCAGACGGAAGCACATCTAAAAATACAGCCAACGAGGAAGACGAGACGCCTGTCGGGTCTGATTCGGAAAAAGACTTGAAAGAATTACTTCAACTTTCTGAAGATGAGAAACTACTTTCTCAACGCAGTGCAAATGCAAAGAAAGGGAGGGCTAAAAGAAAAACTAGGACTAACCGAAGCAAATCTCTGAGGTCTCCAAGTTCCCCGGGGTTATCCCCCCTCTCCCCATCCTCCCCCAAGTCCATCAGCTCAATTAGCGCGTCCGAGTCCACAGGGTGCCCAAGCCCTGCGGAGAATTATTGCAATGTGCGGGGTAAGATCGATTTGGCCCTTGGGAAAAGCAGTGAAAAGAGTTCTACCGATGGGGATGATCTTAGAGATAGGAAATGTGATTTGCCTAGTAAAGAGATTGATAGTAAAGACAATTTTAATAGTAAGACGAAAAAGGAAAATAAGATATATAAAGAAAGCGAACTTGTGGTTAAGCTAGAGAATTTGGCGAATGTGGAGATGAGTAAAACGAATGTGGAGAGAAGTAAAGAAAATGGAGGTAAAACTGTGGATGACTCGACAAATATTGCTGAATCTACTGGTAAGAAAGATGCTTTATCGAAAGAGAATGAGAAGCTGGAGTGTAAGAATTCCGAGAAAGAAAGTAATATAAAGAAAAATATAAAAAATGAGGAGAATTTGAAGGACGAAAAAAATATTCAAGATGGCGGAAGTCATGTGGATGAAGGCGGCGGTGAGGACTCGGATGATAGTGGGGATAAAACTGTTGCTATGGATACAGAGACGGATAACCAGGGGCAAGAAGGGACAGATGTGGAGGATGCGGTCGATGTCGTGAATAGTCCGAGCAGCACGTCGGATACGGTCGACAGCGATGATCGGAACGAGCGGAAGACGGACAAGAAAGGGAAGCGGAAAGGGGAGGGAAAGACTGGGGCTAAGAATGATGACGTCAGCGATAGCCCCGACGGTTTGGAGTATAAATTGAATGAACGGATTGATGTACGATATGGACGAGGAAGAAATGCGACCATTTATCATGCAAAGGTAAGGCTGCAGTTGTAAATGAATTTTCAAAACTTCGCAGACTGTAAAGTTGATTTACAAATGTAATTTTTCCCCCTTAGATTACCTGTGTTGATCCTAATGCCGAAGAAGGATTGGTTTACTTGGTTCATTATCAAGGATGGAATGCAAGGTATACACGCTTAAATCTTTGATAGCCGCTTATTAAGAAGCGAGAAAATCAAGAGACCATTGATATTATAGGAACAAGTTGCAGAGATTTTCCTTAGGAAAACACATGATAAAATGTTCTTTTTCTTAAGTCTTGAATTTTCTTGAAAATTTATCAAATCAACAACAATTTTTCTCTACACGAACGAATGCAACAACCCAGTCTGATTCTTAGATAGCAAACCTAGAAATCGTTTTTCGAATCGAAAGACACAATCGCCCAAATCGTTTATTTATTGAAAAAGTAATTTCTCCATTCTTGCTCCTAAACTTGTAGACACGACGAATGGATTGGGCACGAGCGAATCATCGGACGAGGTGTTAAACAAACCAGAACGCGAACCATCAAAGAGCCTTCTAAGAGCTTGAAACCAGCGGCGAAGCCCCCGAAGCAGGCGCCCAAGCCGACCCCGACCACCAAGAAAAACGGTAAGAATGGAGCGGGGCATGTTAAACCATCCGTTGGGGTAAAGGCTCGCAAAAGGACGCCCTCGCCAACGACGAATGCCGGCACTTCGGGTAGAAATGGCAACGGCAGAGCGTGTAAGAATCGCAAGGATAACGCCAGCGAGAAGACAGAATCAAGCTCAGAAGGTTTGTACCCTTGTAGGTTTGATGTCTCGGAGAAGATGGTAGTATTCCTGAAGGACCATAACAATCCTAGGAATCCCATTTTGCGTAGATTATGGTATAAATCATCTGGTATTCCTCCTTGTTCTCTAGTAAAATTCCCCGCTCGAGTGACGAGACGAAATTCGCTCACCTTGCCATTGGATACTTCTGGTAAGTCCAAATATATTTGTCTTGTCTTCTGCAAGTGTTGCTGTAATTGGCGTAAAAGATGTAGGGAAGACCCAGCCGTGTCGATATACATTATGTTGTTGTGTGTGTATGCTAGCAAGCTATTACGAGTATATTTGGAAGGGTACAAATTGTTTTCTGATTAGAAGTACGGAACGAAGCAAGGTGTACTACATCTTATCATATGATGTTGAACAATTTTCGTTTAAAAAATAATATATTTGGTTTTGTCTTCTCAGATCAAGATTTTCTTGATCAAAAAAGTCCGGATAGCAAAGCTGATAGCGAGAAAGAATCGGTGCCCAGTCCACCTCGGGCTCAGCGGAGTGCCAGCCAACATGCTAAGTCGCCATCACCCAAACGTCACCTCGAGAAGACTTCGGACTCGGCAGCGAGCACGGAACAAAAGCTGGGCAATGTGAACTCGGGAGAGAACACTGCGAATGAAAAGAATGGTGACGCAGGTCAGGAGGGAACTGTTGATAAGGAAGCCAGTGCGATGGATGTTGACAGCAAAGACGACGAGGGGAAGTCTTTGAAACGACCTCGCGATGATGAAACCGGTTTGTATTAAGAATTACTTCAAACCATGCAGTTGAAATTGAGTCTGTATTATTTCAAACATGTTTTTAACGGCATTTTCTTCATTAGAAACCTCATCACTGGATTCTCCTCCAAGTAAAAAGAAACCCGAGGACAAGGACTCTTCGGCAGAGGACGTGTTCGAAACTGCTCCCGAGCGCTCGAGCAAGGAGACGAACGAGTCCGAGGCGACAGCCGACGATGCGAGCGGCCCCGACTTGACGTGTTCCGAGCAATTGCCGACCAACTGTGCTTCGCCCGATCCCTACACAGCAGATTTCCCAGAAAGTAGACCCTTTTACAGGAATGGCGTGGTAGCCGGTGCTGAAAGCGGCAATGGCTCGAAGGAAAAGGACAGTTCTTCGTCATTAGATGAAGCAAAGGTCAGTTTGTATTCCAAAATCTATGATAATTCGTCAAAAAAGATTAAAAGCATGATTTGTCGTTGTGATTTTTTTTTCGAACACAATAACAACGTTTGAAATGTGTTAAATAAAAGCGTTGGTTTGCTCTGTTAGTTCCTGTATTCACAGTTGAAAATTCTAAATGTTTTGCAGTGAGTATCATGCATGATGAATAAAATTAACTCAGTGTTCATTTCACTTTATCTAGGTCGAGAAACCGGTCACAAGTCGCAAGACAAAGTGTCGACGTGACAGGAAGGCCAGGGCGCCTAGTTCTCAGTCTTCCGTAGACACTGTTGAATGCCCGAACGGTACCACAAATGGTCCCACTGTGACAGTGATGTTGTCACCCTCATGGACACCTAGGTACAATTTCACCGAGGATTTAGGTAAGTTTCGAAAAATATGCAATGAATTATCGGATTGCAAACAAGTTGAATTGATAAAACCGTTCAGTAAAGTGCATTTAACACAGCCTTATGTTGTCTAATCTCTGCTTTTTTCAATGTTTTTTATGTCCAGACGAGTTATTGAAAAATGAGGAGAGCTCAGAAAGAATACGTCTGCTGACGGAAAAAATTAAAGATATTCGTAAAGTTTATGGCGAATTAAAGTCTGAAGTTGCAAATATTGACAGAAAGAGAAAAAGAAGGCAAAAGAGGAAACGAGAAGGTACAAATAGGGATATTTTTGGGTGTTGTACATATCCCTCACATCCTGGTTACCCCTTTACATTCCCGTACGCCCCCTTCACATCCTTCTTATACACCTTTAAATCCATCTTGTCGAGTACGTATCTTGTCAGTGTATTTGAAAGTTGACCGTTAATTAATATGGAGTTTGTTTTCTCCAGAGGAACTTTCTAACGAAGAGAACGCTACTAGGTCGCCCTCACGTTCATCACCGCTGACCACGACAAGCGCAGTCTCGTCCGCCAACTCGATGGCTGCCGTCGAGTGTAGATGATGTAAAATAGCGGCAGGAAATTTTATCAATTGGAAGATTTTATTTATTTCAAAGCATGAATCTGTATCTATATTGAACTGAATCAAGGTGACAGGTTCGTATTTATAATGATGCAATTTCCGCTCACCCTGTGTGAAAAAAAGGAACAATTAATATAATGTATATATTGGGACTTTTTTTAAAAAAGGGCTCGAAGTTATTCCCAAATAGTTTAACAAACAAAAGTATTACGTGATTTTGACAAGTGAATCTTTAAACACTTTGATCCAAAAAAGGCGAAAGTTCTCCTACTCGTGCGGGCTCAAGTTGTCAGCGGGTACGTTCAGTAAAAGTAGGATGTCGAGTGAAATGCTGAGCCCTCTGATTCTTCATCTGTGAACGGCTGAAAAACTGAGCCTGCGGTAGTACAGAAAGTTTACCGATTCTGTTCAGCGTGAAACAAGCAGGTATTTTGGCAATATTCAATACACATTTGCCCATCCATATATGCCATTTTGTCGGGACAATTTTGGCTTTCATTGGATGTTATTGGCAAATGTTGATAATTGATGATGTCATCTTGCTGACGTTGACCATGTGTGTCACAATTATACAAACACCCTTCCCGTCAGAGTTCTTGCTTCGAGCCCTCGGGATTAATAGACCCTAACCTAACCGCGCCCATAACAACGTAATGAAACAAACTTTGAAAAGTCGACAACAATGAATTTGCGAGTTTTCGTTTTGAAAATCTTCCAACCAAAGCTACAATTCTTCGCTTAGTTTTCCATCAGAAATTGCCAGCTAGCGATATGCCCCGGCTATTTATAAATAACTTTTTGGTAACTAAAAGTTTGTAGTTCAACAAAGGAAAATTTCGTTTCAGATCAATCACCAAGTTTGTTTACATTTTCAATAACCCAGTCAGAATGCATAATATACCATTTTACATGAAGTATGAAAAATTTAGGTGTTCTGATTGGCTTTCCCTGAAAAATGTAAACAAATATGGCGATTATTTTCCCATTTATAAACTTGCCATACATTTTTCTTTCCACCCGACCGCCTTGTTTTCGTGTATACAATGTGATCTACATCTACATTTTATTAAATTTCTCGGTTAAAACAACATATTATCTCTTGAAATATTCTTTATTTTGGTCTTAAGTTTATTTCAGAGCTTATAGTTGCTTCTAGTTGTTTGGAGTATAGCTTGTAACCAAACATACTAGTTTCATGAAGAATAACAAAAGGTATATCAGATTACATACCGCAGAAGGGATTTCTATTTCGACAACCCTGATTATGAGCTGAATATGAGCACAGTAACCTAGTAATATTGTAATAAATTAGAAATTATCCAGCCTACGATTAGCAGAATAATTTGACACGGAAACGAGACTATTGGGTGAAGAGAATTATCGGTTAGGCTGCTACAATAATATTCCAATCTCGCATCTTTTTGTCGACATTTCTGCTTAAATTAATGTCTAATTTGTCAAAATGGCCTTTTCTCTATCGTTTCAACGTAAATTGGACTATATAAATTAATATCAAGGTGCTATGCATTTTTTAAAATTAGTTTTATTGTAAGATAAAATGAGCAGTATTATTAGCGACAACACAACCCGGTGAAATTCTTGTGTTTTATAATGCCTAATGTAAATATAAATATATCTATATTTTCCACCTATTTAAAGGTGAATGAAATTTTAACTTTTCTGCATTTGCCTCCTTCATTCTGTTACACTGTAGTCTGTAGAAGGTATTATAAAGTTGGTTTTATTATCAGCATAATTTTTGAGCAAATGGTTATGGTATTTTCGTGAAATTATTATGCGATGTCTTCAATCGAACCCAGTTACCCAGTTTTCGATTCGTGAACAATTTCGAATTATTTCATGTCCAGAATCCCACAAATATACTCCTTTACTATAATTCAGTAGTATAATTAAGTAGTTGGGTAAGGATTAGGATGAGGTTTATGATTAAAAATTAAGATTATATTCGTGGATTTTGGACCATATTTTTGGATATGAAATTATTACCCAGTTTTCCTACTTTTTCTCACGCCACAAATCGATCTGGGTTTTCCCTGTAATTCTCCAGTCCTCTGATTGGTTCCCTGTGTTAAAGTGAAAAATTTAGAAAAAAACATTAGATTTTTTTAATGTCGATGTTGATTTTTTCTGCGTTTCTGGTAAGTTAACAGCTGTCTTTTTGTTAAATTTTGGGACGAAAGAAGTGGGAAAAACATACACCAAGAGTTGAAGCAAAGATTTGTGGAATTTTTCAGTTCGGGAAGGTTGAATACGTCAAGAAATATCTTTGATACACGCAGTTGGCATTCAAATACCCGTCCCAAATTTTCTACGTTTTAAACATGTCAAAAAGTAGAAGACGAAAAGTACCTGACAGCCGTGTCTTAAATGTAAGTCAAAGCTTTTCATTCTGTTTATGATCGGAAATCAGCCGCGATTTTAAATCGTATTGTTTTTGAAAACATAATACATGTTCAATGGATAATATATTAAGTTACACCATTTGATAAAGTCTGTTTTGTTTAGAGACAAGAGCTCTATGAGAAGTATATCCCTCACATAAGTCAGGATTTTGCAAAAATTATCGAGAAAAGCAAGAACAACGAGTTCAAACAGCGCTGTCAACATTTACTCCAGGTACACATTGCTGTAGAGTTATACAAACTGACTTAGAATTCGTTATGACTTGTGTTCTGTGGCATTCTGAGCTCCAAAGATGATGTATGAATTGTGTTTGTCTATTTTATCAAGGGATAGTTGTTTTTATTGATAGGTTGATGATCCAGACAAGATACAGGAAGCAATAGCTGGCCAGTTGTTCAAGTTGACGCTTGGCAAGAAACCTAATGTAAATGTTTCCCGGATTATGAAACTTTGAAGGGTTTTTCCCAGTGGGTTTTCCAGTGGTTTTCCCAGACACCATGAAGATTAAAGTTATGCCATAATTTCGCTATTTGAATCAAGTATACTCTGTTTACAATGAAAATAATTTATATACAGTATTCATGCGGGTTGTACTTGGTTTAGGAAAATCCTGGAGCACAAAGTGCAGATCAGAGCAATATTCAATCTTGCTTCGGGGATCTCGCCGATCACATCGAAGATAATCAGTGGCCTTTGTTTAGTGGAAAGAAACTGCCTCAAATGAGCTCTTACGAGAGTTCGTCTGGAAATCAGGACATTGTTGGCAGACTGCTGCATAAAAAAGGTATACTCCACTGAACTATAAGTGAACATATTCATTAGAAGTCTATGAATATGTCTATAACATAAATTACTTATATTAAGAGATTGCTTCGGATACACCGAAGTACACCTTTGATGATTGAGGTACAACGATGTACCTTGAGGCACACCCAATGAAAAAAAGGTGCCTCTACGGGATACACACTGTGGTAAAACACCCATCACAGTTGAGGTACAATAAATACAAGACTTTCACGGTTCGAGAGGAAAACTGAAAAAAATATTGAGCCTTAATAGATTTTTGTACTTTTTAGGGAACACAAATCCAGCCATAAAAGGTTATAAATCGGCTGAGAAAGCCGCAGCAATTGTGTACTCCGAGGACGATGATTTCAACTCCTTGGAAGTGCATGCAATGTTCAATGAGACCAGGGGGAATTGCGCCACTGGTAGTGAAGATGGATTGGTACCTTACGGCAGCCGAACTAGTACCATGACGGAGAAAACACCACCGTATTACCAGCCAGTATACCACCATAAGAATACAACCATGAAGAAGAGTGCTCTTAAAACTGTAGTGCCGCATAGTGATGTTTCCCGTATCACTAAAACGGTAGAACACAATTACCAAACATCATACCAACAGTCAGTTACCAGCAGAGAAAGGCATGTCTTCTCAGCTGGCGCTGAGGTACCATATAGTAATACCAGAAGTACCAACTCAGAGGTACCATACAGTAACACCAGAAGTACCATCTCTGAAGTACGATATAGAAACACAAGCAGCACCAACCAATCACTGCCCAAGCTTTACCATCGTTTATCACCACAGTCAGTTACCAGAAGAAAGGAGAATGTTTCTCATAATGTTGAATCACGCACCACCGTAAACAGCACCATCCCAGCAAAACCACACAATTGCCAGAGCGTTCCACGACAGTCAGATACCAGTCCGAGGGTGGGCTATCCATTGCAAAGCGATGACAGCGACTTCGAAACACTTGGAAATCTTTTCTAGATCAAAAAGTCTTCATCTTTATATTCAGTATAAATTGATTTCGTATCTGAAAATGTTTCATTAATACGATGAATGTTTCATTAATACGATGAATTTGAACCACTTTTGCTTTTATATATTAATTGACTCTGTCTGACACCGGATATTTAGGTAACATGGATAACACGGAGTCGGAGTTCCGGAGCCGGAGTTTTGGAGCCGGAGTCCCGAAGTCAAAATTACGGAGTCTGACGTCATAATATTGGAAAACACGGAGTCAAAATTTATGGAAAACACGTAGTCTGTTAAAAATATGGAAAACACGGAGTCAAAAAATATGGAAAACACGGAGTATAAATGTTTGGAAGTCTGCCAAGCTCACTGGTCAATGACTCAACGTGAATTATGCAAATTTGATAGCGTGTTTTAAACAACATGGCGTCAAATTCGCGTAACGTTTTTGTATTCCGCAAATGGTAAATAAACGACCGAAAAACTTATCCTTAAACATGAATAATATTCCTCAATTTAAATGGGAGGATATTGTAGACAAAGAGGAAAATGGATGTGGCAGTTTTGGCGTGATTTAAAGTGATATAAGGACACGTAATGTAGTTAGCTACAACAATAATTCTATGACTTTGAGCAAGAGGCTTTATAGCTATAATCTTTTGTTATTGTGTATTCTTTCTTGTATACTATTACTGTGGTATAAAAAATTAGTATAGACTTATGAGCGATCCTTCATTTATGAATATATGTATAATTTACGCTGACTCCGTGTTTTCCATAATTTTTGACTTCGTGTTTTCCATATTTTTAACAGACTCCGTGTTTTCCATAGTTTTTGACTCCGTGTTTTCCAATATTATTACGTCAGACTCCGTAATTTTTACTCCGGCTCCGGAACTCCGTCTCCGTGTTATCCATGTTGTGATGTGGCAACGTTGAATCAAAGCTAGATGTTTGTTTCACCCATTCCTCGTGTTGCAAAATAAAGTCATCCTATTGGCTGAACACTCCCGGCTTGACAGCTCAACATTGCTTCTGATTGGACGAGCATAGTAATTTGAATAATATGATTAATTCTTTCCTTTACTTCTGATGTTCAGGCTCAGGAGAAGAGAATTAATCATATTATTTAAATTACTATGAACGTCCAATCAAAAGCGTTGTTTAGCTGTCAGGTCGGGAGTGTTCATCCAATAGGATGACTTTATTTTGCAGTCACGAGGAGCGGGTGAAATGAATATGTGCTTTTGATTCCCGTTTGAGACATCATTTCAACGCTGGTCTTCGAAGAATAAAAATGAGTCTCCTCCATGCCAAGAAAATTTCAACAGAAATTGCTATCAGATTGCTATCGTCTTTAGCAGAAGAGAAGTTTAATAGAAGTTTACTATCTCTGACAGACTGTCGTTGGTGTAATACCAGGTAATATGCCTTTCCCTTTGCGTGTTTTATCTGCTTGTTTCATCGTGAGCTTTTGGGCGTTAGGTTCCACGTGTCTTTAGTTCACGTCTTGTAATGTCTCTCTCGTGTTGTGTTCAGCTTCAAATGCAAACTTGTATAACACTAACGTAGCTTTTGTTCTTTTCATGCAGAATTTTGACGTATTAAAGCGAAGTTAAACGATGAAATTTGTGAACAAGAGATTGACAACCGATGAATTGTGGCTGAACTGGCTCAAGATAACTCGCCTTTAAAGAGAAAGCAAGTCTAGGCTTTTTCTGGGGAATATTGATGATATGAGAAAGGTAATATACGTCAAATCTTACCGTAGAGCCGCTAACCTTCCCTCTAACCACACGCAAATTACGTTTGAATTAAGTTCTGAAGACCTAAGCAGTGAACTAATGGTGCATGCCTTTTATTCTTCCAGGTGAAGTTTGAGAGCTTAAAACCAAACTGAATGAAGTGAAGTGGGCAAAAAGTCCGTTACCGTAGCTGAAATTGCCCGAGACGACTCGCATTTGACTCAAGATAACTCGCCTTTGAAGAGAAAGCACGTCTACGCATTTTCTTGGGACTTGTTTATGATATGAGAAAGGTAATATACGCTAAATCGTATGTGAGCCGCTAACCTTTGTTCCAATCGCAAGCAATTACCTTTGAATTAAGTTATAAAGACCAAACCAGTGAACTAACATTGCCTTTTGTTCTTCCAGGTGGAGTTTAAAAGCTAAAACCAAACCGAATATAGAAATGAGCTGGGAAAGAAAACCCATAGCTGAAATTCGCCGAGATGACTCGCATTTAAAGAGACGGCAAGTCCAAAGCTGCTCTTAAACACTTGTTGCTGAAATGAACAGGTAATTTGGGGTCTATTTTATTCAAAATAGGATGGGAAAACTTGAAACGCTTGATCAGGCATCACGCGTTCTCTCAACTGAATAATCGCACCGCAAGTTTTCTCCCGATATTTAAGCTCCCTTCATCGAAGGTAAATCCTTGAAATCGCTGTCTATAACAAGCATTCTTTTG